ACCAAACGCATTCTATATGAGATAGGTCAGATATGCATCAAATAAACACAATATTACAACGTACAATTGCACAAAAGGCTGCAAACGAACAGCGCGCATCTGAAGTGTCTCTGAAGGAAATAATGCATTATTTATGCATTTAAGATATCGGCCAAATTTTCTTATCGGGCCGATACCGATAACAGAAAAAATGAGCATTTATCGGCCGATACTGATATGGTGGCCGATATATCGTGCATCCCTAGTTACGCCTTCTTTCTTTGCGTCAACATTTGGGTGGCGTTATGCAAATCTTCCCACTTCGTGACGTAGACATGTGGGGGCGGTTAGAACGAGCCGTTTTAGGTAGGCGTGGCTGACTCTTAACTTTTATAAAGAACATCTCTTTGGATTTGAGACTTTAGTCTTTGCAACTTTACAGATCTTCTTTATGCACCAAGAGCTTGTAACGCTCCAAAGAGAAAGGAAAACTTGAAATCGCATCATATGACCCCTTTAAAACCTGTTATCACAAGTTTGCGTTTTCAAGCCCCCAGAAATGAAAATGAACGGTCAAAACGCGTAAAAATGTTTCTGTTTTTTCTTGAAGACCGTGTTAAGGTGCATCACATTTACCATTGCTCAGCAAATTGTGCGGGTGAAATTGAGTCATTCCAATAGGAATCCACACAATCGAGAGTTTCACACAAAGTTGTTTACGCAAATTCACCACCATTACAACAGAAAGCTGCAATTTACATGACGGCCTGAAAACACAAACTTTTGAAAATGGGTTTCAAAGTATACTTTTTTGAAATTGATACCATTGTATATTGATCTCCATGTAAACTTTTCAGTTTTTAGTACAATCATTGTCCTGTAAACGTACCCTAAGTGTGATTGTTTCAAGGTGACGCGTGAAAACAGCAGCTCTGTATATATTTTAGAAATGTTTGTAAATGTCTAGAGCAAGCGCAGACAGAAGTCACCTGTTCAGAGTCTAATGCAATTCTCTACTTTTATTAATGTGTTTTGGTAAGAAATGTTAAATCTGTGCTCTTGACTGCATCACTGGAATCATGAAGTAAGTCTTGTGTTGTTGATGTTAAAATGTTCGTTGTCTCATGTATCTGAGCTCGATGGACTGATTTTGAGTGCCTTATTTGTTGGACACATGATTTTATTGACAAATCAAGTCAAGTGGGAAATAACAGACATTTAGTTTGGTTTTGCATTGGTTTACAGTACTGGTTTAGAGAGATTCGATTGTAAACAGTGAAGTATTAATATCTTCTACACTGCTGAGTGTATTACATGTCAGTTGTGAAATACGAGTGTAGAGAACTTCCCATGAAATAAAAACTGTTCTCCACTTTCTCCTCTTGAAAAATGTATGTAGCTAACAATAAAATGTAATATAATGCATGTACATGAATCTTGACTTATTTACAATCAGTGCTGGACTCATTTTAGTACATTAGACTGGTTTTAATTATTATGTATAACAAAAGCATTTAAAAACAAGCATTTTTTTTCTCCTGCAGCTTAGTATAAATGTTTCCAGCATGCTCTATGGATAAAAGCATCTGCCAGATGCATTTTCAAAATGTGGGTTACAAAGATGATCATTTATTTTCTTTATTATGGATGTGATTAATCACGATTAATTGTTTGACAGCCAATATACTGTATAATGTAAAATCCATTTAAAATCTTTAACCATAGCAGAGAAAGACAGACACAGACAGAGGAGAAGCGTGTATTGCTGTAATGTGAGTTTATGGTGGTTCACAGTAATCATGGTTGTCCTTTAACTCTAGAGAGTAAGGTGAACTATAGCTTGACGTGTAGATGGTAAACACATCCCACATGTCTTGTGAGTTGGTGGCTAAAAATACATGAGAACAGCATGAGGCACCGGTACTGAGATTATGTGCATGTACAGTGGGTACGGAAAGTATTCAGACCCCCTTAAATTTTTCACTCTTTGTTATATTGCAGCCATTTGCTAAAATCATTTAAGTTAATTTTTTTTCCTCATTAATGTACACACAGCACCCCATATTGACAGAAAAACACAGAATTGTTGACATTTTTGCAAATTTATTAAAAAAAAATTAACTTAAATGATTTTAGCAAATGGCTGCAATATAACAAAGAGTGAAAAATTTAAGGGGGTCTGAATACTTTCCGTACCCACTGTATATTCTGCATTGTGTTCTCAGTCTACAAAAGCCTCTAAATTTAATGTCCATATCAAGGGCGTAAAATTGAGTCGGGACACTAGGACATGTCATTACCAATATCCTGCAGCTACTAAATCGTCCCTATCAATAATTTTGATCAAAGAGTTAAAAAATATGTATATGTAACCACTGTTGTTGTAATTTCGGCCAAATCTGAAATAGGTCACACCATTGATATTTCCTGAGAAGTTACAGTAAATACACTAGAAAACTGTGTGCTTTCAAGAACGTACATTTACACAGATACAAATCCATGTGTTTTTATGGTAAAGGTGTAGTAACTTTTTTTTTTTTTTTTTAGTAAAACCATAGTTAATTTTTGTAAGGGATGTGTTGCCAGGTTACCAAAAAAAAATAAAATAAAAAAATAAATACAAATAAAAATTACACCTTAGAGGACACATGGGATGAATATAGATACAGTTTTGATTGCTTTAGGATTAACAGAGCTTTGGATAGTTTCCATATACTTGTCAAGATCAACTTTGAATAAAGAAAAAGAGGTTTAGAGCCAGTAAATTTGTGTTCATGTGAAATTTAGCTAGCAGGACAAAAACACAAATTAATGAAGTTATATATATTCTCTTTAGAGCAGTCAAACAATCCAAAGAAAACATCTTTAAAACAGAAAGAAAAGTTGCTTACAAAATTAAATTGGATGAACATTAAACAAATCTGACATAGATTTCTCAATGTGGATACATTGACAAAACAAGTGAAGCACTGTAAAAAATGTGTAATTTTAACTGTAAAATTTTGTAAAAACGCTACGGAAAAAACTGTTAATAGGTTAACAGTAAGTTCCCATTCTATATACAGGGAAAAACTGTAAAATATCTAACCAGACATTTTTTATTTTACAGTAAAATGCTGTTAATTTTACAGTTTTTAGAAGTAAAAATAACAAATCAATGTATAATTTACAGTCAAAAACTGTAAACTGATATTCCCAGAATTCCCTGCATGACACTCCACATTTGAAAGTATTTTGTTTAAATAATCATGTTTTTTTTAATAGTTTTTGTTATTAGTTATGTATATTTGGGCTTTATGTTACATCTTCTGTTGTTTAATGAAAGTTTAATGCATTATTTAAGTATCAAGTGTGTTACCATGATGGTGTTTTGTGTTTGCATTAATGACCTTCTATATATTAGTATATACTTCTTTGTATATACTAGCTTTGATTCTTCATGTGGCTTTCTCTTTTACCACCTGCATTATTATGGTGGTTGTCAGTATGTTAAAGGTACAAAACAGATTTTAATAGCAGTGTGCACTGTTGAATTTACTGGTTTACATTCAAATGTTCTTGTTTGTAAATTACAGTTTTATACTGTAAAATTTACAGTTTTTGGCCGTAAATGTGTTTACAGTTTTTCTGTATTTTTTACAAAATTATTCTGGCAACCACAGCTGCCAAAATTATTTTGTAAAAACTACAGAATTTTTTTTACAGTGAGGACATCTTCCTCAGAAGAGTGACAAAAACTTCAATGTCTTCCATAAACTTTTTGTGAAACCTACGCCTTTGGTCCATAAACTTAAGAAATAAGGTGTATCTGCACTGTAAAAAAAAATCCGTAAAATTTACGGTAAAAAACCGGCAGCTGTGGTTGCCGGAATTTTACCGTAAAAAATACGGTAGCAACGTTTTAGGTTTTACGGTTTTAACGTAAATTTCACTTCCAAGAACGGTATACTACCGTAAAATTAATGTCCAATACATGTAATGTCATATACAGTTTTTCACCGTATATAGCAGGGGAATTTACCGTTAACCATTTAACAGGTTTTTACTGTAGCATTTTTACAGTCTTTTACCGTCAAATTCACGGTCATTTTTTACAGTGTGGCTAGTATTAGTAATTTTGACAACTTTGGTAAAGGTGGAGTGTGTTCAAACATCAAGCAGTAGATCTATCTATAATCCAGATTCATCAGACACTTGTTAATCTTTAAGCATATTTGATTACAGTATATTAACTGCAACATGTGAAAGAAATATAATCATACTCTAGCAGATTAACAGCAGCATACAGTATTATAGAGAGAAAAATTACAGTTAGTGTAGGGCAGAGCAAAATGAGGGCAAACTTTTATTCTGATATATAACAATCAAGTCATCCTTAATGCCAACTACTTTCCCCCATATTTATGATTTAAAAAAGTTAATATGATCTTGTCAAAACCTCATAATATTGATAAAAATAAACACAATTCTGTTTAATATAGTTTTAGAGGGAACATAACATGTTAGATGTCTGCACAGGATTATATTTTTTAGTCATGCTGAAAGGTAACCCAAAAATTGAAAACATCTTAATTCATTGGTTTTATTCAAAGCAAGATATGATTGAATATGGATTTGAGTTTACTGTCTATGTGCATAAGTTTTAATTATAGTAGCTATGTCCGTTACTTAGGTTATAAATTAAATATCTAAATGCATATTAATCTTTTAGATTGTTTTTGTTATTTCTTATTGTTAGGTTATTTGAAAGTAACTTCATTTAAATGATTT